TCAGTTATCTAATGATTTGGTTTTATCGGAGACAGAACTGCTGTCTGTTCTTCGTTTTCTTTTGTCTCTAGCTGATCGTTCTTCTCTCGATATAGGCCTCAGGCAGCAGGCGCTGTCTCCTATACAATGGGCGGCTAAACAAAAACCCAGAGGCAAGCAACAGCAGCAGCAGCAGCAGCAGCAACAGCAGCAGCAACAGCAGCAGCAGCAGCAGCAGTAGTAGTAGCAGTAGTAGCAGCAGCAGCAGCAGCAGTCGAGCTGTTGGATGTGTTTGTCTCCTCCTCTCTCTTTCTGTCTCCTTCTTTTTTGTCTCCTTCTTTTTTGTCTCCTTCTCTCTCTTTCTGTCTCCTGTCTCCGTTTCTTTCTTTTCTCCTTCTGTCTCCTCAACCTGTCTCCTTCTGTCTCCTTCTGTCTCCTTCTGTCTCCTTTTCTTTCTTTCTTTTTTCTTTTTCAGTATTATGCAAGGGTGGGTTTGTGCCTGAGTTACTGGACGTATTGGTGCGTCTTTCATCTTATTTGTCTCCTTTTTGTCTCCTTTTTTTTTCTGTCTCCTGTCTCCGTTTCTTTCTTTTCTCCTTCTGTCTCCTCAATCTGTCTCCTTTTCTTTCTTTCTTTTTTCTGTTTCAGTATTATGCAAGGGTGGGTTTGTGCCTGAGTTACTGGATGTATTGGTGCGTCTCTCATCGGTTCTGTCTCCTTTTGTCTCCTTTTTTTTTCTGTCTCCTTTTTCTCTTTCTTTCCTTTCCTGTCTCCTCAATCTGTCTCCTTTTGTCTCCTTTTTCTTTTCTTTCTTTTTCAGTATTATGCAAGGGTGGGTTTGTGCCTGAGTTACTGGATGTATTGGTGCGTCTTTCCTCTGAGCCTGACAGCAGCGAGAGTATAATAGAGGAGGGAGAAGAGGAGGGGGAAGAGCTAAACCCTCACCGACTAGCAAGCCAAACCATCGATGCTATTGCTGTCTCTCTCCCCAACAAGTACATATGCAGGCCGTTGCTGCAGCGGCTTGAGGTGTATATACACCCCACAAGTCCCCGTACACCCCAGCAAGAGATACTGCAGCAACGTGCTGCTCTTACTACTATAGGCATCATGAGTGAGGGATGTGAGGCCGTACTCAGAAACAAGCTTAAAGCATTTATGCCTTTTCTTCTCCCTATGCTGCAACACCAACACCCAGCTCTTGCTGCTGCTGCTGCACTCTGCTTCGGACAGTTCGCAGGTACGGTCTAGGGTTTAGGGTTTACGGGTTAGGGTTTAGGGTTTGGGGTTTAGGGTTTAGGGTTTAGGGTTTAGGGTTTTAGGGTTTAGGGTTTAGGGTTT